GTAGTGGTAGTGGTAGTGGTAGTGGTAGTGGTAGTGGTAGTGGTAGTGGTAGTAGTAGTAGTAGTAGTAGCCGCAGCAGCAGCAGGTTATCTAACTTCCACAGCTCATCTAGCTTCTGAGTCACTGCCACCAGCTGTTCAGAAAGCAAATGAACATTCATACAAAAGTACATATTTAATCTTTCGCCAGATCTTTCGCCAAAAAAATTTTACTTTCGCCAACTCGAGAAAAAACTTTCGCCAAATGAGATTTTGATATGTTCCGGGTCATCGTCATATACACTGCTGACTAGGACCTTTAGATCGACAACCATATGTTGGTACGCACGAGATGTTATGCCTTCGCATAAAAATCTGTGTTTGCAGCCGGTAACCGCCAATTCTGCCCGCGCTTACACCCGTGGACTTTCCATTTATCAATGGGCAAATTCCACAAACTCCACATGCAAACAGTTGTTGAACGAAGTGCTCCTGGAATCTTCTGGATATAGTATCCTGCGGTGGGCTTTGGCCTAATGGCGGGATTAAATGGATCGCAATGTCTTTTATGTAGAATTGAAAGCAGATTGTCAGATCGTCTGGAATTGGGCGAATCGCGCAATACTAGCATTTCAATGGATATCCTTGTTCATGCTCAACCACACAACCCCCACAGCCCTACCTCTGAGCATCTTGTTCAGGCGCTTGAGCTCGCCCCTGGTGTGGTTTGTCAACAAGCCACTTCAAAAAAAGCTGTGTTGCTTCAGCAGTTAGAGAAAAAATCTCGGCTTGCAAAAAGAGGGGTTCCAGCAAACACCATGGCTTCACAATCATGTGTCAAAAGCCCTGAACTTGAATCGTCTCTCACCCGCAGATTGTTGACACTCAAGTGCCTTCAAGCTCTTTTCTGCCTTGCCCTGCACAAGGCAGCGACCTTGCTGAGGGGCAGGGCACTCCTCAGTCCGGCCAGCGAAATGGCTTCGGAGTAAAGCCCCCGGGGGTAGGCCGCTAGGAGGTAGGCAGCTAGTAGCTAGGTAGCTGGTAGCTTACTTGAGCTACTACTGTAGTATGGACGCAGGATAGCTCACGCTGGCAGTATTCGTTTGGTTTCTAGCGTTACAGCTTTGAAGGTTGCTGAACGCATGCCGCACCCTCGCTCAAACAAAATATATAATCAAACCAAACGTTCACGATAGAGAACCGTTGCCAAATCGAACTCAACAAGAATCCAGAAAGTCGAGACTTCCTGTGATTGAAGAGATGGCACGGGGAAAATCAAGGAGAGTGTGATCCCAAAAGATCAAATGAGAAGTAATTTGTCTTTGTCTAGCAGCTGAGTCCTAAATGCTTGGCAGGCTTGCTACTTTCAACCCAGTACAGCTTGACCCAGCCTTTGTGGCTTGAAAATAGGTTTTCGTCCAAACAGTCTATTGGTCACAGGACGTTTGGATGCTAAGAGCGAGGCTTCTGATCTATTGCTCGCCACAACCACCCAAAGCCAAAGGAAGGCTCCAAAGGCCTAGGTATATATCACGCAACAAATGAACGCTGTCACAGTACAAAACTGAAGTAGAGCAAATTGGACTTGCAAAAAAAGGACCAAGAAAACGCGTGAGAGTCGGCGTTGAAAATGTAGAAAAGCAGTTGCCTATTCGCCAAGTTGCTATCAGTTTGGCATTGGTAAGGTGTGCCATGGCTCCCCAGCTGTGAGCCGGGCATGGCTATGTCTGCAAGCCGTGGTGGCGCAAGAGCATAATAGCAATGACCTCCAACCTAATAGCGATGGCATCCACCTACTGCGATGGCCTGCAACCTAGCATAAATTGATTCACAGCACGGAACAGTGTTTGCGACCATGCCTCTTCATGCAAGGCTACAAGTATTAGGCACGGATATAATTTGCGAACCGCTAAGCGCAGTGCGGCTTTCTGGACAAACACTTCCTGAAGTGCTGAACACATATTTGCTTTAGCATGGGATGAGTCTTGAAGCACTCGGAAACCAACAAAAGCGGTCAAGAAAGCCTTGAACTCGTCTCTGCAGAATCGTACACACTTACGAAAGCCCTCAAGTGTTCAAGGGAAACGGTTCTCAGTAGCCTGACAGTGTATAGTGTATAAAGCCGGAAGAAGCTCACCTGGCAGTTTCCCTCTCTCCTGCTTAATGAGCTTTCGCTCTAGCACCCTCGCAGCACGAGAGATCCGCTGCTCGTGGCCTAGTGCTGTTGCTTCCAGGTAGTGAGTTTGAACTCTAAAGTGTCAATTAAAGATGAAATAGTTTTCACACAAAAATGTATGTTCTTGTTTGGTGCAAAGCCCTGATGCAAGCCAACGGGTAAACATCTTAGAACAAGGGCGAGAGGCGACAAGCGTTAGAACACACATTGCCACCCAGCATAGGGCTGCTGAGTCAGTGCACTTGATCCAAACAAACTATGAAAATGGCAAAGCAAGCGAAGAAATGAGTATAATCTGGACACTGGATATTTTTTCGAAACAGGGATGGTTTTTAGATGTAAACTAGCTCTTCGATGGAACTGGAGGTGTTCCAAGCTTCCCTGCAGCCCTCTTCAACTGGAGTGACCTGACAGAAGAATCTGGACACGTCCCCAAAACCCAAGTTGCCGCACCATTCATACTGTGTACACCTATGTATGTATGCCATTTATATTTTTTAATATATATATACATACGGTTTTATACTATATATATATATATGTTTTCATACTATATATATATATATTACATTATGTTATATAAAAATACAGTATATATGCGTGTCTCGCACTCGTCTTTTTTTGGCTGTGTGTTCCAGCTCTGCCTCTTCCAGCCACACCCCGTTTTAGGGTGGGTTTGGGTGGGCCTTCATTTGAGACCTCGACTGCGTTCACGACACGTCTCGTCGTCGGTCGAACGTGTCCTTTCCTCCAACTCTCACGTGTCTCGCACTCGTCTTTTTTTTGGCTGTGTGTTCCAGCTCTGCCTCTTCCAGCCACACCCCACTTCAGCTACCAAGGCTGGGTGAGGCGGAGCTTTGCCTCGGGAGGTGTTCTAGCCGAACCGATATGTTTGGGCTTCGAGGTCTTCTTCTCTTGGATCTCCTTGTCAAGGGATGTGGCTGCACTGATCAACTTCTTCGTGAGGATGAAGTCCAACTCGGCCATGTCCACCTCTTAAGCGATGCTTAGCATCAAAACGGTCGAATCTTTCTTTGCTCAGGTCGTCGGCATCTTCATTCTGCTCCCTGGGTATCCAGGCAAGGTTGAGGTCCAGGGAGTACCTATCAAGTTGAGCCGCTAGCTCCATAAGCACCAAGGACGCAGGAAACTTCGTGGTCAGGAACTTGTCCAACAGGTAGGCATTGGACAAGTTGTCCGTGAAGCCTGTCACCGAAATCCGACCCGCTCCGGACCTCCAGGTGGCTTGAGGCCCGAAAACCATGATGGCCACCGTAACCGCTAGCAGCTCCGAGGTGGAGATCGTTCTGAATGGTTCACCCTTCAGGTAGAGAAAGGCGGCATTTTTCCGAGTGAGCTTCACATGAAACCATCGAGCCTTTGAGGGGTCATTCGTGACATTGGTCTCCCAACCTCCGATAGCAATGCCGTCCTGGTCCGCCATGGCGTCAACCCTGAAGATCTCCCCGAGAACCTTTGGGGGTAGCGTCAGGGGCTTCACAGGAGCCCCGGAAACCATCTCGTAGAAGAAGGCGATGGCCAGCTTAACCGCGAGGTGGAGCTCGAAATAGGTTCCTCCCGGTACTCGAGCAATCGAGGCGTATAGTGGCGCCAGCAAAGGGCGCGCCATTCGGACCGCACCGGCCAGAAACCCCACGCGGCCTAGGCCCGCTTTGAACTCGCGGCCAAGCATGCGCCCCTCAGCCAAGGCCCAGTCGCTCCACGTCCGCAGCCAGTCAACTTTCTTCTTGCTTACCCCCAAGGTCCAGTCCTTGAGGTTGACTGTATAGCCACCCATTCGAATTCAAGGGCCCCCCGCGTCTTAGGCCACGACAACGGAACTTCCATCAACTCCAGGTGGATGAAGAGGGCGAACAACAAGGTGTGGTAGTCGTCACCCGAGGTCAACAACAATCCGTCGTCGGCGAACAGCATCAGGTAAAGTGCGGCATCTGAGGGGATGACCTGGTGGAAAACCCTGAACAAGAGCCCAGCAAGACAGCCCCGCCAAAATGCGGCAGACGCCACACCGAACGTCCCTCTGGTGTTCAAGTACACCTCCTCCTCCTTGTCCAGGCAGCAGGCATGAAGGCCCCAATCTCTCTCATGTACTGGTACGAGCCGGTGGGCCGACTTGACGTCAAAGGCGAGGAGAAACCTTTGGGGAGCAGCCTCCTCCTTGAAGGCGCGGAGAATCGCCTCCAAGTCATCGTACTGCGGGAAGAGCATCTTGTTGGGCTGGTCCAGGTGCGTGTTATACCTTCAGGCCATGTGTCCCATCATGGACGACTCTGACATCCTCCCAATGTGGGTCCTTGGGGACCGCACCCAGCGAGGCCACCTGCAACTCATCACCAGAGCGCTTCTTAGCCTCGTCGAGCGAGACCATGGTCATCCAGCCTTCTTGACATCCGCCTCCACGTGGGTTCTGACCCTCTCCATGCGCTCCTTTGCCGAGGTGTAGTTCCTGCGGAGACCTTGCTGTTCTTCTTCGTCCCAACGAGCCCCAAGATCTTCTGGCCCTTTTCGGTCTCTCTTGTTGTAGACCGCACTGACCCACGGGATCTCCCCCCGAGTGCCAATAGCCACCCCTGTGGCCGCCATGCCCTCCAGGAACTTGGAATCGGGGTGCTGAACGACAGCTGCCCATGCCCGCAGCCTTCTGCAGTGAATCTCCGAGGTCCGGTCCTCCGGCTTCCGGTCTGGAAAGAAACCCATCTCCCGCAGCAGGCCATCGAAGTCCTCCCACATGCCATCAACAAACGACCGAAATGGCGAGGAGGTGTATCTGCCCACTGCCAACTCCGAAATCATCTTCAGCTTGGCCTTCTTGTCCATCGAGTTGGAGAAGGAGACGACTCTGCCCCAGAAGGCCTCCTTCAGCTTAAGCGCCGCCCCAGATCGAGGCGGCCCTGTATGACCCACCGGCCTGATTCCTGGTGAGTTCAAACCCAAGCCGTCCGTGACCTGCCTTTGTACCAGACTTCAATTGGCGCCCAAGGAGAGCGATTCAGATCTGGCAAGGTGCGGCGCCTCTTGGTCTCCGCGACAGGGGCCACTTCCATTTCTCTCTTGTGCCTTGCCGTACTTGAACTTCACCAGGATGCCCCCGAGCCAGGAAGATGTTGTTCTTGCTCTTTGCGACTGCTTGGATGTCCTTCTGGATCCGAAGAAGGTTGCCCGTCGAGGACTGGAGGATGATGCCCTTCAGAATCAGGAGGAAGATGACCATGCCCATCGGGATCGGGAGGTGGACGCCCATCAAAATCATCCGGATGATGCCTATCAGACTTTGCTGAAGAGTTGGAGTCACCCTCGGATGGCCCTTGCTTGCCCTGCTTTAGTAGGGCTTGAAAGAGGGTGGAGGCCAACCTGGTGGCGAATGAGTTGTCTTCGGTGCGGTGAATGAGGCCGACACGCTTGCAACCACACTTACAAAGACGGGGGAGTGGCCCCCGGTAACGGCCCAATGCATCCAACTGGGGCAAACCCGACCAAAGCCGTTCTTGCAGCTGCGTGATGTTGTGCAGGAGGCGGGTGGGCTTCTGAGAGCCCGCGTCAAACAGGCACCGAAACAATGCCCCAGAAAGCGCTTGCGAGTGACGAATCCACTCACGGATGGGAAGAAGCTGCCAAATGCTGGCTGGCCGCGCATGAGGCCCAAAGCGAGAGGTTGCTCCCAGATCCTCCAGGTGCTCCATCAAGAAATAGATGCCATGCTTGATGCAAAGGGTGATGCACTGAAGGCAAAGCTCGATCATGGCATTGCTCTTTTCAACCTTAGTACGTCTCCAAGACTCTAGCCATGGAAAACCCCATGGATGCCGTGAAGAACGAAGGGGCTTCGGCCCGAAGTTGTTGGCCCAGGGTGCGCTGGACCAGGTCCCGCAAGGCGGGCTCATGATAACAGCGTCGTAATAGCCTTGGGCTATATGCTCTAACAAAGTTGTTCGAAGGCCTTCGTCTAGGAGATCATGCTTGGCGTCTCTCAATGCGTCGAAGGGCTCTACAGTAACCTTCACAGGGCGTTTGGACTTCCCAGCAAGCTTCTCGAGTGTCTCGGGAATGCCAGTCGGCCGGCTGGGCCCTGCAAACAAATAAAGGTGCTTGCGGCGTAGATGCTTGCGCCCCTAGTCACGACTCCTTGGCGTCGTGCTCGAACATGGGATGTCCGGGGTCCAAACAGATGCGACAGGCATGGATCCTGTTGCACTCACCGCCACAGCCCTCATTCTTGTTGTTCCATGCAAAGCAAAGCTGCCGACCGTCAGAATTAGAGGCATGAAGTTGCGGGCCCCCCTTGCCCTTGGACTTGCCCTTGGAGCCCTTCTTGCCTTTTGCCTTGCCCTTTGTCTTCCCCTTTGAGGACTCACTGTATGGATGCTGTCGATCCTGCCACTTCCGCTGGTTGCTCCAGTTGTTCTCCTTGATGGACTGCATGGCTGAGGTGACCGCCAAGGAGGTGCTGAAGGAGCGCTCTCTCACATCTGCGCTCTTAGCCACGGACTTCAGTGAAGCCACCCAGGTGGTGCCTCGATTGACCATGTCCACCGCCTCTTTGCGCATCTGGAACTCATAGCTCATAATGAGTTTGAGTGAAGGGCGGTGCAATGCCACGTCCTCCACCACCAGCGCCTCAAGTTGGGCCACATTCTTACTGCAGATGTAGTTCAAGTACTCAATGGCCGCGAAGGGCGTCGCCTCGTCCAGTGAGGCTTTGTGAGGATACCTGAAACGTGCGAAGATCAGGTGGTTGATCATCAAGTTGACCTTGGCTCTGAACTCCTCCATGTTTGTGGGTTGGACGTTTCCACCCTAGCCTTCTTAATTTTAACCTGCCCTGCCTTGCCGAGATGCAGACTGCCTGTCTCCGCTTCATCCTCCTCCGAGCGAGAGCCAAAATGGCGTAATGCCATGGGCCTGAACTCACCCCCATCCAACTGCTCGCAAACGTCCTCGAAGCTAGGCTTCCCGCTTCTCAAACTCGGCCCTGTACAGCTGCATTT